CAGCTTTGATTGCCGGTGACCTCTGATGCAACTTACTGGCAAAATCTAACGCCAATCAATCAACTCAACTCCCATCCCAATCCCATCATTGCAAAAGAATCTGTCCTGTCGGAAGATGCAAATTCAACCGCTGGTAGTTCGCTTGGTTGCATGTCGCAAAGCCAAGACCGTCTCTTTTGCCCTGCAAACAAATAGCACCTCAAAAGTATTGGAAAGAAAACATTCATTCATGCAGATGCAAACAAGACTCAGAGAGAAAGAGATACAGAGGGAGACGTGTTTCATAATTTCATTCTACTTCCGGCTCCAGTGCCTCAAAAATTCAGCAGAGGCCCCCACATCACTTTCTCAAGAGGTGCCAGGAAAAATGCAGCAATGGTAAGACTTTGCAATGTAAGTGGCCGCTCTATCCACTCAGTTGCCTTCTTTGATCTAACTCTTTGCACACGTTGATAGTGGAGCGGATCCATTTCGGCAACACCTAGCGTTGCCAAGGCTGAGCTGGATGCGTTGTCAGCAGCCGGTTTGATCGAAACCTGGCCACAACTGAACTGCGCAGCTCTTTGAAGCCGATCTGATTCATGCCTGTAGCTGAAAACAAAGACGACAACTTGATAAACTTTAAACAACTAGGCCTTCTCAAACATTCCCGACCTCAGACTCAAACAAACCTGCCAAAAAATTAGCCATGGTGGCTTAAGACTTGCAACTTGCAACCCTATGGACCCTGGACCATATCAAAGCTTGGTTCTTGACCAAGCTCGACGGAAGATCTTGTGCACAGCAAGGCCCAGCCTGAGCACACACCCCAACATATACACACACACACAGATTTGAAAATTACCTTGACTAAACTATGACGGCGCATACTTCTGTAGCAGCTCTTTCCAAGCCCCCGAACATGTAGAATCGAATGCATTCTCCACAGGTGGTCCAGCGACTAAGAACTGGAATAGGTGGCTTGTGCGCAAACCTTGGGCTACGAACTGACCAATTGACAGAGAAGGATGCAACGATTGCGCCGAGGATGCAGCAATACCTCGAGCAGCGCCAGCCAAAACTTATGCCCTGAGAGCCGGAAGCACTGGGTGCAATTTGATGCCTGCCTATTTCAACAATTTAGTCTAGTAAAACTTGGTAATAACATTTTGTGATTCTGTAAAGTGTAAACTGAGGACTGACTGAGCACAACAGAAAATAAGGCCCTTACTACTTTCCTCAATGTTCCGGCAACAGCCCAGCTTGCAATGATGAACGATAGACTCTGACTTCCAATCCTGACCAGTTCTGTTGATGCTCTGGAACGTTTCAACTTCAACTTGAATTAGGCTCATGATTTGATTGAAATCCTTCGAGGCCCTTGCCCCATTGCACATGGAGAGAATCAATTCCCGAGAGTGCTCTGGTGGACCACGGCGGCCTTCATCAGAAGCCTTTGGACCTAAGTCAGAGTGGTCAGATGCAACTTGCAACTATCCAAATCCCTCTATTGACTTGCGCATGGCTGAGCCAGCTACTCACACGCAAAGCCACATCCAAAACACTGTTTGCATATCTCAGATTTTCGGGGTGAGGCCTGCAAAAGAAATGTCACTCACACTGCACTTGCAAGTCTCTAAGGTTGACTCAGGTTGACTGAACGCTTGTTTGCAGCCAGCACAGAATCACAATGAACAACACTCAACTAACATCGTTGCGTGTTCAATAAGCACCAGGCGGATTGAAATCAATCTTGAGCCCTGAAAAGACTATTGTGCGAGCTTGCTGGAGAAGATTGTAAAATAGATCGCCCTGAAAGAATAGAGAGGACATTCCAAACCTTGCGGGGCGCCACCCGATAGCGGCAGTCCAAGTCGAACTATCATGAAGCAACCAAGTCATCCCAAACCAGTCAAGGCACAAACCGGGTAAGTCTCCAAGGGTTTTTAGCGATGTCTCCGAGCAATGGTTCACTTCATGCCTGAATTTCAGGGGTTTGTTAGTTTGACCCAACAAATCCAGTCTTGTCAAACAAACCGCATGGCTGAGTCTGGCTGAGGGTTGAGCAATAGGCACCCCTGTCGAGACACCTGACTGCGACATTTGGCAGTGTCACGCAAAGCGTCAAAGTCTTTGGAAGGTCCAAAATGTGTTGGCATGGTTGTTAACAAACAACATTATTGTCACTTTCACTCTGAAATCACACACACAAGCATTTGGCTGGCTACTATTGTTCACAATTGGTATTTGTTTGTGAATGATGATGATGCTTTGTTTGTGTACTGAACCCTGAGGCTTTAGCAAGAACATTTGCTGGCGATGACTGCCCAACAATCTTCATCATCGCAAGGTTCGCGCTGGCACTATCGCAAACAAATGTCATCACCGAAAGTTTCGCTCCTTCAGCGAAACCTGAAGGCAACTGGAGCTCAAGCGCAAACAAAATTGGCCAAACTGAGAATATGACGACGAAGGTCCACAGGTTGATTGGACTTGATAGCTGCCCACAAACACGGTGCAGTCTTGCGTTTCAGGACTGCTGGAGGGTTGACCACCTTAGAACCAAGAAGCCTGTAGTGACTAAGTACAGTAAGTGTATAGTCAGAGTCACACACACAATCATTAATTCTGAGACAGCTGCTGTCAACCTTTGGCTGCGGTGTGACAAATCTTTGGCTGAGAAAAGCGTAGTTTTGCAGACCTTCAAGTTAGGCAGGTAGGCAAACAGTGCGAGGAATTGAACGAATTGAATCAATTCTTGAGTCACTTGAGTCTTGACTCTTGGCTTTGACTTTGCAAGTTGAGCCTCCGACTAGAACGGCCAGTGTGGTGGTTGTAGTATGGAGGTCTTGCCGAACTTGTAGTTTCTGCCCGGTTTCGTCAAATTCAATGTGGATGCCCCTCGCAACTGCTGGCTCCTAAGCGGACTAACTGATGTTTCGAGTTTGCTGCTCTACCCGACTACGACTACATATGGCAGAGTACCACTGTTACTGAAAGAATGCACAGGGGCCCTGGCCTGCGCAAGGGACTTGCTGGCATCTGCTTGTTTGTTCAAGTACAAGAGCGAGACCGCGCTTCTTGCCTAGCTGTTCGCAAATTACATCGCGTAAGGTGTACAGGTGCTACTGCTGCCCAAGCCTTTGTGATCGTTGTAGTTGAACTTCCCATCCAATATGCCAGTGAATTGAGGGAAAACCTGGGTGTTTCGGTGGTTCATTTCATTTAAATTTGTCATGGCAGAGACGAGAATAAACTTCAAATATAAACTTGAAAAAATCATTAATGTATTCCGCATGTGTCATACATCATAGTAACGCGATGTCGCCATGTCACACGTTTTCTCAAACTCAACAAATGAAATAAACAGTAATAGCAGCATCAAACCTTGTGCCGAACAAGGATCATCACTGGTGACTTGCTTTTCATCTTCGCAAGCTTCCCGCCTTTACCAACTATGTCACGAAGGGATCTGCCAAGCCTTGGAATTTGTTGATCACGCAGTCCCAGCAAAACAGAACGTCTTGTCTGCAAGTGCAACTGTGACTAGCTGGTTTGATTGTAGTCATAGTCTGAGAACCTCACGACACCCTCAAAATAGTAGCTGACGTCCATGACTTGTACTGGCCTGCAAAACGCGGATGCAGCTGTCACCTCAACTGGCCTCTCAATGAACTACTTGAACTTGGACTGAACTCTATTCTGTCTAAAGAAGACAGCAAGACGCTCAGAGTCCAGTCTAATTCGATGTCAACTTTTACATTTACTTAAACAACTCAGTTTCAACTCCAACTCACCTTGACTGATTGTCGACATGGAAGCCGCACCTCTTCCTGGAACACGTTCGTGTTTGAAGTTGCCAGAGCTTGGATCGACTTGAATGACATCCCTTCTGCAAACAGCGTGGTTGCGGTTGTACTTGTCGATCTGCCCCCTGACAAGCACATGGACATGAGACGACATACACGTTCAAGTTCAGCAAACATGTACTCGTACTAGTACTGATTCCTGATGTCAAGAAACAAAGCATAAATTGGTCCTGACTTTCTTGAAGCGCTGTTCAAATCGCCGACGCGTCTGGCAACATCTCTTTCCTGTGCCGCATCTTAACAGCGACCAGGGTGGGATATGGTGGAAAGAATGCGGTGCAAAGTAACAAGTAAAGTAAACAAGAGTCCTGCTCGTGCAACTGCCATCCTGCTCTTGGAGTCATTCTGACAAAGCTGTCGCACATTGCGTTGTAGGGCAGCACTTAGCAAGGCCACTGCTGTTGGTGGCATTTCCAAGGAGGCTCCAACCCATGGAATAACTTATAACCACCCAGTCACCCAGTGTTGAACCGTCATTAATGATTCATGATGATGTTCGATATTTTTTATCCTAGCTGCTCCTAGCTGACAAGCTCAATGCTGCCTACTGCCCACAACAATGTGTGAGCCGCCGTTGAGACTTAGTGACTGACTTAGTTCAAGAAATTGTAGATGTATGCTGTAGACGCTCTCCTGACTAGCAGTGGCAGTAGTCATAGTAGGCGCTGCATCTCCAGTTTTCAGTACAACAAACAAACATTTCACTGTTCTGTCAGTTCACAGTGCACCTTTGCTATATAACTTGGGCCATCCTCAAGCCATCCAAGAATTTGGATGATACTAATACGCAAAACTCAAAGAACAATCATAGCGATCCTATGCCGCATCCGCCACAGTCTTTGGTTGTGAGGCACAAACACATGAACCTACCTCTCACGCCCTGCAGTCGCACCCACACCTGTACCATCGCACCCTACACTCGCACCCGCACCCGTACCGTCGCACCC